ACCAAACAACTAGCAAGAAAAGCAATAGTCATGAAAGAATTATAAGAAGGATGCTCCTCATTTGAAATCTCTTATTTTTTCTCTTCTTTCTTTTTATTCTACTTTTCAATCTTTTCTTTCCTTCTTTCTTGGTTTTCTCACTCAATTGTTTCATATGCCTATAATTTTTACTCACTTAAAATGTAGCAAAGGGGTAAGGACTATCTTCTTGTCATTTTCCTCAAAAGAACGCTTATTAGTCCTTCCATCATGTAGATCACCCCTTGTCATATTGCCATGACCTCCCCAACAATAAATGACATGCTTGTATGCGAATCACATCAAAAATTATCTCATCAATATACTTTATAATTTTGAACTTACCAAGACTTGTCTAGTAACTTTAAGTTTACCACATTCATTAAGCCATTTGAGTTTGTAAGGACGAGTATGTCTTTGACTCTTCAAATTCAACTTGTCAACCATAGAAGCACTAGCAACATTAGAACAACTACTAGTATCAATAATCAAAGAACACAAATGATATTTAGTCTTGCACCTTCCATGAAATAAGTTCTTTCTTTAATTCATATCTTCCATCATTTGGGTACTCAATACTCTCTTAACAACATACAAAGGTAAATTAGGAGAGTCAATTATACTTCATCATCACACTCGGCCTCCTTTTCTTCACATGTTTATTTACTTTCTTCCCTATTATAAGCTTCTTCCATAAGGATTATAGTTCTTCAATTAATACATTTGCTCATTTTATGCCCATATCTTTGACATTTAAAGCACCTATTAGAGTTAGGATTTTGAAAGTAAGATTTAGAACTGTAACCTCCCTCCTTAGCCTCAACTTTTGGTTTGCCTTTGTCATTTTGCCACTTGGAATCAACCTTTGGCTTGTTTTCATTTGAAAAAGATTGCCATGTTTACTTATTTTTTGCTTCATGAAGTGTTATGATTTTTGGATTTTCCCTTGGAGTGCCTCGTGTATAGTAGCAAATTTGTGCAAGGTCATTTGGTTAGAGATTTCATGTTTAAGTCCCGCCAAAAATCTAAAAATCATGAGTCTTCCATTATCATCAAGAGCTCTAACCCTGGTTGTCTCCAATTCTTCAAAGTAAACCTCCACATTCTTGCTTCCTTGCTTCATGTTTGTAAAATTTGGTAAGCAATTCAGTCATAAATTCTCCGGGCACAAATTTTGCTATCATAACCACTCTAAGAAACCCCCAAGAATCAATAGCAATATTTTCATTTTTATTTGTATCATGTTTCTCTTTCTTCCACCAAGAAGAAGCATAATCAACAAGTTTAAAAAATAGCATAATTAAATTTCTTTACATCAGATACATTGTTAAGCTCAAATATTCTTTCCATTTGTATTTCCCATTCTAAAAATTCCTTGGGATCACTACTTCCTTTGAAAGTAGGAAGTGAAGCCTTGATGTTGTTAAGACCCCAATCTTCTTCATCTCCCCATCTTCTATCATGTTCTTTATTATGATAATAACCGTAATCATAAATATCATTCAAGTTCCTACCTTGATATCTCCTACAATGCCTTCCACCTCTCCCTCTAAAGCCACTTTATCCATTCCTCTTTAGTTGGACTCAAATTGATTCATCATAGTGCTCGCCGTAGTCCAAATCATCATCAAAGTTATTTTGTGTCGTTGTGGCCTAGGAAGTTGTTGTTGATTCTCAACGCTTGCTTGTCTAGCTTGTGATTGGCTGATTAGCCTTGCAATCAGTGGTGCGGTTGAAGTAGAACTAGTTTGTTGTGTTGTACTAGTTCTCACTTTTTGGTTAGGATTAGGTGACAAGTCTTGCTATTGGTTAAGAACGTTGACATGAGACTTGACCATATGTTTCATATTGTCAACTTTCATAATCAAAGCTTGTAAAGCCTCCCAAATGGTCTCATTGAATACTCCCTCCTTTGCAGTTGAAGTACCTTCAATATTTAAAGACACAATACTTACAAACAAAGAAAACAATTTAAAAAAGTCCTCTCCAAATTCACTCCCTTAGAGTATCCCTCAAAGATTGCACTTAAATTTTTCAACTCATGTATCACTCTTGTGCACTTGATTTTTAGGCACACACACTAAGAATCTGACCACTCAAGCATTTTACCACTCTTGGGTAAATATCCAAAGTTGATGTCAAACTCAATCAAGGCACTTTCAAGCAGTCCTTCCAAACTTCGGACGAGAATAGAATTTATGTGACTCAACAAAGAAGCTAAAAATAATAAACAAACAATGAAAATAAGAAATTAACAACGAAACTAAAGAGAAAAGCACAAAGAAAATTGGTTTGTAAAGAAAGTACAAACACAAATAACTAGATTAACTAACACAAACATGAACTAAATACTAAATGAAGTCTAGTTATGAATACAAAAGGAAGTTAAAAAGGAAATATATAAAAAAAAAAGTATCAAGCAGTATTCTTAGTTCTTTCAAGTTGTTCAAAAATGGTGGTCTTGAAATTTAGCACTAAATTCTTCTCACAAGCAGTGGTTAATCTCCTTGACTAAAGCTCAACACCACAATTCATAAATGCGTAAGAGAATTTCGAGTTGGACAATTCTAAGTTCCAAGAATTCCAAATTCATAGTGATATTCACAATCTCGATTTCAATAGCAACCATAGATTAGAATTCGGATTAAGGCTCAACTTCTTGAACTGATGTTAAACATATTCTTGAGATGATTCGCTCAAATTTTGAACCAGGCTTCCAAGTTTTAAAAAAATTCTAAATTTCACAAAATCATGAAGAGAGTTGAGCCCTTAATGTCACCACAACTTCGACTTTCGACAATGGTGTGCTTAGAACGTTTTTTTTTCTCAACTTCAAGTTTGCAGCATCATGTATTAAACGGATTCAACTTGTGAAGGATTTACCATTTCAAACACGAACAATGAACACCCAAGACCGCATTTTCTTCTTCGTTTTAGCTCTCAAATAGCTTCAAATCTTAGAACTAGCTTCATCTCAAAAACAATTATCAATAGTTAGCAACACCAAATCGAAATTGGACCACAAATCTTCAATAATATTTCAGATCTGAAAAGTTTTAAATCCATCAATGGTGATTTTCTAGATTTTCTCGAAACAATCACCTATTCCAACTGGGTTTTACCCGTTTTAAGCTCAAATACTTCGCCAACTCAAATTCGAGAATAGAATTCACCAACAAAAAAGGTATTCCTGATCCAGAGATGGTTTTGATGAATTAAAAGTACAAAATAGGATAGAAACAGGGAAGAACCAAGGATATTTTTTATTTATTTTTATTAATTTCTGATATAAAATCAAGCAATAAACAAGAAATTTATAAAAACAAATCCATAGTTTATGCTCCGATACCAAAATGATACGAACGCGGAAGCAAAAATAACAAGAACACAAATAAAAAGATAGAAAGATAAAATTTAGCAAAGAACTAACTCGGGAAATTGAAAAATACTTGAAATCAAACACAAATACCCTTCAGTTAAATCTTAATCAACCTCAAACTATAGGATAACCCTCAAGAGAAAGAATCCCCATAAAAGTCACCTTAAAGGTTTTCAAACAACAATGGAATTTATCCATAATACTCACTCAAGAAATTCTTAATTTTAATATCAAAATAAGCTAAGTCTAAAATGAGAGTCTTAAGGGCTATTTAAACTAGGAAGCTAAGTATTACAAGTATAGCCGTCAAATGTAAAGTAGCCTTTATTTATTAGCCAATCGTACATATAGCCGTCATGTTATGAAATTAGCTTTCAATTAGAATTCAAAGTGCTTCATGACTATCTAAATTGTATCAAAGTTTTAATGAGGCTATATACTAAAGAAGTTGTGGAAATGATATCAGGTAATCATTCTAGATGACTGTTATTTTAAAATTAACTAATGTGTCCTAAATTTTAATTTTTTGGTCCTCAAGCAAAGATTTTTAATTCAAATTTTCATGATAAGCTCAGCGCTGAGCCAGAGGAAGTGGACGTGGATGTGAGGCTTGAATCACAGGTCATCCCAAGTAGAGGCGGCTTCAAGTACCTTGGGCCGGTTATCCAGAAGGGATGGGAGATCGATGAGGAAGTCACACACCGTATTGTGGTAGGATGGATGAAGTGGAGGTTAACATCTGGAGTCCTATGTGACAAGAGAGTGCCACCGATACTCAAAGGTAAGTTCTATAAAGCGGTGGTTAGACCGGTCATGATGTGTGGGGCTGAGTATTGGCCTGTTAAGAACTCACATATCCAGAAGATGAAAGTAGCAGAAATGAGGATGTTGAGATGGATGTGCGGGCACACTAGGATGGATAAGATTAGGAATGATAATTTTCAAGATACGGTGCATGTGGCTCACATTGATGACAAAACGCGGGAAGCGAGGCTCAGATGGTTCGAGCATGTTTAGAGAAGAAGCCTAGATGCCCCGGTAAGGAGGTGTGAGTGGTTGGTTGTGGAGGTCACAAGAAGAGGTTGATGGCGGTCTAAGAAGTATTGGGAAGAGGTGATCAGACAGGATATGTCGAGGCTTCAGATTTTCGAGGACATAACACTTGATAGGAAGATGTGGAGGTCGAGTACTAGGGGTTGTAGGTTAGGAGGTCTTGCCATACTTCGTACCATTGTGAGACTAGTCTGGTAGGGTTTTTGTCTAAAATAGCTAGTGACAATGTTGTGTTTTACTATTTCGCTTTTAAGTGCAGGACCTATTTACCCGCTATCGCTTTTGCTTGCATCTTTCTTTTGGATTCATGTTGTTCCTACTTTTCCTATGATTTCTGTGGTGATACTAATATTGTCTCCTTTTGTCTTTTTTGTTTTCTTGAGCCGAAAGTCTTTCGGGAACAATTTCTCTACTTCTTTGGGGTAGGAGAAAGTTATGCGTACATAATATCCTCCTCGTACCCCATTAGTGAGATTATTAGTGTATCATAAAATAATTATTGGCTAATTCCTATGCAGCAACCATAAAATGGCTATTTGTGTACTTCCCCAAAAAGGTTTACATTGAGGCCCAAACCTTCATATCAACAGCCTTTTGGTAGCGTCAACGGCGGTGCACCACCACTCCGCCGTAAGATGGAGGAAGAAAAGGCCGCAGCATACTACGACGAGCTTACACGGAAAGGAGAAGGCGCCGCAAAGTTCAAGCAAGGTCTAGGCTTTTCTTCAACTTCCAACAACGACGCCGTTCCCTCCCGTGGCTCTGCTCTTGTTTCTTCATCTTCATTTCTAAGTAGCTTTGTCAGAGCATCAAGCCCGTCGAAAACTACTGAGTTCGAAAAACAAGCTCAACTTCAATCCATCCAAAACAAGCTCAAGCTCAAGAAGAAACCCAAAGACGATGAAAATTACGACAGTAGCCTTTCTTCTAGGGTTTCATCAAAAGGAAAAAACAGTAGAAGCCAAAGTCCGAGCCGCGAAAGGCATTCGCGCCGGAGAAGTCGAAGTCCGAGCCGGACTTCAAAGCGCCGGAGCAGGAGCAGAGGTAAAGAGAGGCATTCCATACGCCGGAGTCGGAGTCGAAGCCGAGATGCTTATAGGTCGAATCGTCGATATAGGTCTAGAAGTAGAAGTAAAAGTAGAGATAGAGGTAAATATAGGGAAAAAGAGAAGAAGAGTAGAAGGAGGTCAAGGAGTGTGCCACCACGGGATCGAAGATCGGAAAAAGATAGGGATGCTACGGTTGATTATAGCAAATTGATTGAAGGTTATGAAAATATGGTAATTTTATTTCTCAATTTAGCTTGTGTGATTATAATTTTGTGCTATTTTTGCTGCTAGTATAATGCATTGTCAACGGCATTTATAGGATGAGGAAAAAAATGGCATTTATAGGAATAGGCAGTATCTTTTTGTGGAGAATCACACTACTGATCAATACTGTGATTATGGCATCCAGATAAGGTAATTTTAATGTACTGTAGGGTTTTAACAAATTGCTGGAATGTGTAAAATGTGCGGATTTATGTGCACGCTTACACGTGGATCTGAGTTAGTATATAATGAGGTTGCACACTCTCGCATTCTAATTCAACGATATAAAGTATTTCACAGCAATTGTTGAAAGGGAAGAGTGGATAATGTTGGCTGAACATGTTACCATCATGTTTTATGCTATAAGAATGACTACATTGCAGAAGTGCAGAACTTCAGATAGAATATTAACCAACGTTATCGTTTTCAGTAAGGGGTCGTTTGGTAGGGCGTATAAGAATAATGTTAAATAAGGTGCATTAGTAATGCAGGGGTTAGTAATGCAAGCATTAGTTATACAGAGATTATTTTTTATGCATTGTTTGGTGTGGTGTATTAAAAATTAAAATGCATTGCATAATTTTTAAGAAATTTAATTGTTTACAAAAATGCCCTCCATATTCTTTAACTTAAGGGACTTTAAGGATAATTTTGTCTTTAACCATGCTAATGCATGCATTAATAGCCTTTGTATAGCTAATGCCATGGTTTTCTATGCATTAGCTATACATAGGATAATACCAAATAGAGTGTATAACTAATGCTTGTATTAGTTATACATAGGTTGAAAAAGTGTACCAAACAAAGCATTACTAATACACAAAGCTAATGCATGCATTATTTTCTCTAACACACTCTACCAAACGACCTCTAAATGTGTTTAAGACTGATATACTTATAAATTTGCTGAAACTAAAGAAACGAGGAATCTTCTGGTTATTGAGCACATAAAACAGACAAATTGATTGCATAAGAGATTTTACCAATGCTCCCATATCCGTATATTTCCTCTAACTATTCATCTGAGATTTCAAATCTGTGAAAATGGACTGTAAAGCACCTATATGACTACCAAGTAGATGCAACTCATTTTTTGGATTGCTAGGCTGAAGTTTCTTTATTGGACTCTGATATTGTATCCTCTAAGATCTTCAAGTACTTTGTTATTTGTTATTGAGGCTGACATTATTTATTTGCGTATTTAATTTTTTGCTGCTACGTTGAACAGACTCCAGCCGAAAGAGTCAAAGCCAGAATGAAACATCAGCTTTCAGAAACTGGTATTTTCTTAATTTTTGTTTCTGCTCGTTTTTGTGTATGAAAGTGTTACTAATTGTTAGAAATTTCTTCAAATTGTGGATGCCTAATATGTAAGTTGGCTGTTTGATGTACTATACAATAGATACTAATTATGTGTATACTGCCTTATATTTAAAAAAAGTGTATACTGGTTCGTGAGATATTACCTAATTCTGCTGATAATTATCGGGCCATAACTCCTCCTATAAAGAATGGTAATAATAATGATGGGTTCCTAAAAGGAGAATCTGAGCCTGCCATCAGTACATGTAAGAGATGACAAAAGAAGTATGTCATAGAGCATATTGTTGCTTATGCGTTTATGCGAAGTAGCTATTTCCTAAGTTTTTGCTTTTCTTCTACATTTCTGTTCTAGCTATTCTACAATCTCAATACAAAAGGTGGAAGAGATTGTAGTTTGTAACTCAATATGAGTATGGATATAATTGGCATCTTGTATTCTTTTGTAACCTTTTGACAGCTCGAAAAGATGAAACAAAAGGCATGGGCTCTGGATGGGAGCGTTTTGACTTCGACAAGGATGCCCCTTTGGATGAAGAGGAGATTGAAGGTAAGCTATTTGGCTGCTATTGCTTACTTATGGACTTTGTCAAATTGAATCCTTTTCTATATCACTTGTTGTATGATTGTTATTCTCGCGGCAATAGGGCAGCATTAATATGGTAATAGGATGAACTGTACTAAAATCAGGTTCCAGGCTTCTTGGCCTGCTCTAGGAAAATCTGGATTTCGATACTGTTCCTTTATTTACGAACTAGTGGTGAATTTGCAAGTTATGTATATACTTATTTGTCTGGCTACTTGTAGCATGCTAGAATTCCTCAACTTGATGGTGATTTAAGGGATACAGTGTTTCCAATATATCAGCAGTCAATGTGGATGTAAGATGCCACGCTAAAACAACATTTAGGAACTCCAACAAAGATGTTTGACGGTAAAAGTTTGGAAAAGGGAGTACTGTTAGGTTATCCCTGCTCGTGAAGGATTTGTTTTCATTTCATCTAAAATGAAACTCATAATTTGCCTAAAGTGTGTTGCGGACCTTTCTCAATAAAACATCTTAATTTGGATGAGGTCAGTCCAAATAAAGCAAATGTACTATACTTTATACATATCACGTGGAGATATGGATGTGATGTCTGGTTTGTTATCGCGAAGCTGCTTTATTGCAGCAATTACATGATTATGTGTGATGTTTGTGTGAAACTAAGATGACTTCCTAACAGGGGCATAATGATATTTTTATTTGTTTCCTGTGGGCCTGTGGGAACCTTCCTTCTTGCTTATATCAATGTTTATGCAGACAGAAAGGTTCCTTACTATTTGCTGATACTGATAAACACTGTTGACTGCTTCAGCTGCAGAAGATGATGCTGCTTTAGTCAACCACATTGGCAAAAGCTTTCGGTTTTCTGCGGTGGAGGTATGTGCACTTTCTGTTTGTGTTATCATTTCCTTCTCATAACAACATGATGCAAATGGGCTCTGGTCATGTCAAAGGGAGAGCGAACTGATGTTCGTTCTGTTGTAAAATTTTGTTGATCTGAAGACTAGGAGGGAGGAACAAATCAAGGCTGCTCATGATGAGGCTATCTTTGGAGTTCCCTCACTTCTGCCACTTCCACCTTTCACCGAAACTGATTATGAAGCAGAAGAGGATAATGGAAAAAAGGACATCTCTGAAACTGCTTCTGCCACAAGTCTCATCAGCGGGCAGGTGATATCTTAAATCTTGATATTGCAGTTTGTTGCCCATTATTACACGGTTAGGTTTTTGCTTTTTATCTTGATTTTTTCTCCCATTGTGCTTACTCATGCTCGTGATATATGAATTTAGGCACTTGCAATGCAACAAGGTTCTTGGCGTGATCGTGCGCATAGATAATGAATTCGATGAATGCTTGGAAGATTTGTTAAAACAAAGTGACATGATCATGCTAATACTTAATTGATGACTTGATGCCAATGGAGGGGTTTTGTTTTTGGGCTCCTTTTAGATGGGTTGTCCCCGCCTGTCGCTTTTAAAGGAGCAAGTCCTCGTTTAAACCAGGCAAATTGGGATGGAGAAGGATATCTATAGAATTGGCTTTTCAGCTTTAATATCCATAGTAGGTACCTGTGTGTCTGTTCTAAGTTTCGTATGGAGAAACTAGCCTGTATTAGCTTAGAGCAAGAAATTCTGTAAATATTTTTCTTTGGTCTTCTCAACTTTGAGCTCAGCCCTTGTCTCTTGTTGTATGTGGAACGTCAACGTACTGCATTGGCCAGATTCATCTATCTATAAGTCAATTGGTTATGTAAGCACAGGTCAATATTGTGAGAATGCAAGGGAGAAAAATCTATTATTGGTATTTTATTAATTATAAAACAGTGAGCCTTATTTTTTATACAATATATATCATACTCCTATTCTACGTGAGAGTATGACTAATTCATAGTATGTACATAACTATCTAATACTCCCCTCAAGTCGTGCACACAAATCATATGTATAGAGTTTGTACATATGTAACTAATACGAGGACCAGTAAAGGAATTGGTGAAAGTATTTGCAAGTTGATCATTCAACTTAACAAACTTTGGAGCAATATCTCTTGAGAGTATCTTTTCTTTGACGAAGTGACAGTCAGTCTTAATGTGTTTAGTTCTCTCATGGAACATCGGATTTGAGGCAATATAATGGGCATCTTGATTTTTACACAAGTTCCATCTTGCTGACCTCACCAAATTTTAAGCAAATTTTTGATCCAAATTAACTCATATGTTGCCACAATCATTGCTCGATATTATGCTTCTACACTAGATCGAGCAATCACTTTTTGTTTCTTGCTCTTCCATGACACCAAATTACCTTAAAACACAATATACAGACGTAGAACGTCTATTAGAAGGTGATCTTGTCCGGTCAGCATCTGAGTACCCAACAATTTGCTCATGACCTCGATCTTCAAACAATAATCCTTTGCCTGGAGATGATTTTATATATTGAAGAATGCATACAACTGCATTCCAATGACTATCATAGTGAGAATCCAGGAACTGATTTACCACACTTACAAGAAAGGAAATGTCACGTCTAGTCATTGTAAGATAATTTAATTTACCAACCAGAGGCCTATATCTTGCAGGATCTCTAAGCGGCTCCCCCTGTCCTGGTAGAAGTTTTGTCATGACCCAAATCGATGGGCCGCGACGGGTGCCTGAGTCCTACCTGTCAATCACCCCTAAGCATGCGTCTAGGATATGAACATGTATAACATCTGCTGAATTACGAAAATAACATACAAGAAGGAAACCTGCCTTCAAGGCATATATGCGTATACAGGCAGAATACAGTAGGCGAGCCAGTAAGGCTGCTATGGACAACTATACATCCAAAACTAAAATCCGACAAGGCCACATACAACCCAACTAGGCATACTGTCTACAGACCTCAAATAGAAACATAATTGCACAAAGACGGGATTGAGCCACGTCATACCCATATATATATATATA